TATACATTCGAACCTTTGGTATTCTAAAGGCATGAGTAAATCTTTTTAATTGAAACCAGTTTTAACTTGCAGTAATGCGATGTCATTATATTTAATGACATATTGTTGTGCAAAATGTAAGAATTTCTTTATAACCCAACAGATGAAGACAATACAGCTGCTGAACCATGAGTCTGTGCTGTGTCACTGGAGCATAGCTGAGGAGGTTAAGCCTTTTAAAAAGGTATGACTGTTGTTATTTTGTGGATAATATAAAAAATGGAATCCACAGGCCATCTGTGTCGTGCCAAGAAAGATATCAGATAGAGAGAAATATAATAAATGTGATGCCTGCATTTGTTCTTGTTCTCACTCAGATCGATAAGTTCCTGCCCCTCTACAAGCGTAAAAGAGCCTTGCAGGAGCAGCGTCCACCTCCAGTGGTGTTTGAGATGTTTCCCTCCTCTGGTGTGCTGTCCCCTGGTGAACGGGTCAATGTCCACATAAAGTTCAAGCCTGCTGATGGGGTGAACTGCTTTTAATATTAGAACAATAACTGTTAGATATAATTAGTAGCATAACATCATACTGCTTAATCATGAAAAAGTAGCAAGAGAACGTGATATAAAATATGACAAAAGACCTACTGTTTTGCTCTATTTGTCTTTCAGTGTCCTTACAACAGACGGCTAGTGGTGCGAGTCACTGACAGCACCCAGGAGGTGTTCATCGCAGCTCAGGGTCAGGGTGAGGATCCACATCTCGAGTTCTGCCCTTCGGTACTCGAGCTGGGCCCTTGTCTCCCTGCCAGCACTGACGTTGAAGCTGAGGTTACAGTGAAAAACCCCTGTTCTTTCCCCATTGAGTTTTACTCCCTGGAGTTTGACACACAGTATCTCCAGGAAGAAGAGGTAGCACTTTTTTTCTAAAGTTTCAGAAATATTGTTGCAAATTTACTTTAAAATGAAGTGCATGATTTTTAAAGGCAAGGCTATAAGTGGTGTAGTAATATGAAGAGATTATGTGATTTCCTTTCATTGGTAAAATATGGCATGATTAAAAAGGCATCAGAGAAAGAGACAAAGTAGAAATGCTGTGCAATGCAATTTTTTCACTACAGTTAATCTCACACAGCTTTCCTGAATTAAATTATCCGTTTTTGTCTTTTGCATTATGTGGTGTCTCTAATAAGACATTTTTTTCTGGGTTTTTAACTGCCCTCTCTTCTCATGGTCACATGCAGATTCTGCGTTTGATGCAGGATTATAAAGACAACAGTGTGTTACTACTTCCTCCACGTGTCCCGGGAGAAGGGCTTCCCTCAGAACTGCTGGACTATTACAAGGAGTATTGCTCCAAGATGAAAGACGAAGGTATCTTTAAAGATACCTAAGCAGCTATTGATAATATACACACAGTTATGTCAGCACATATTTGTTTTAATGTCTGTCATAATGTCACTTTTAATCGATCTGTGTGCCCCAGAGCTGAAGGCAGGTACGGGTCATGACGATCAAAATGAAGACACACAGGGAGGAAAAAATAAGCCTAAACTAGATGAAGACCACCCAGAGATTAGAACTACAGGTGTGAAACCACCTGAAATGTGTAAGTACAGCAAGTTTCTTCTTTCTTGGTTCTCAGTCATCCAGGCTATGATCACCTTGAGTTGAAAGCAACAGCACTTCTTTGTAATGTCCTTTAAGATGTTTCACTTCTCATCTAGCAGTTCATAAAAAAATGCCATCAATTTTCAGACTTGTGTAATTTTCTTTGCAAACATTATTTTGCTTGTAAAATTAACATTTAAATTCAAATTCAGTTTTCTCAGAATTGACCAGATTGGCGAGCAGCGAGAGTCTAAGACAGTTCGAGATGACCCCTATCTGCAGAGCAGTTGCCCGACATATGGGTGTTGACCTGTCACCTGAGGCTCTGATTGGACGCAATTGCAGAGGCATTGCTATTATCGTATATGGAGCCCCACTGACAGGTTTAAAAACACATTCTGCAATGAAAGAATTTAAATGACGATAGTGTATAAAACAATCATCCCCTGCTGGAGTCAGTTAACTTGATATAAAAGGTGTGTGTGTGTGTGTGTGTGTGTGTTTTTTTTTTCAGATAAGAGCAGCATAGCAGCTGCTCTGGCACTTCGGTATGGAGCAGCGTGCCTCTGTGTTGATGATGTGGTTACAGATATGCTTTTAAATGGCACTTCACCGGTTAGCCTGACAGCCAGACAACTCTTTGACTTTGCTGCTACAGAGCATGCTCAGAAAAATGCTAAGGAAGCTGGTAAGCTGGAAGCTAGAAAGCAGCTTGTGATGGAAAAATGAATAACACCTTTAACTGGTCATTTTCAGTTTTAAGTAAATGGTTAAGAGCTGGGCTGCAGCGTGATTCAGCTGTCAAAGGAAAAGAGGGTGCGACCTGGGCAGATTGCCAGTTTATTGCATGGTCTGAAAAAAGCATCATCTTTAAAAAACGTCCCAAAATACAGATACATGTTTTAAAATCAGAAAGGTTTTAATATGGTTAGAAAACTGAAATTAAATTATGAATTTATCGTTGGTGTGAACAGGTCAAAACAAAAGCCACAAAAAATAGCCTGATATCAGGCAGCAATACCAACTCTTTGTAGCCTGACTCTCACATCTGCAGCTAGGCAAACACAAAGAGGACAGAAGAGTAAACCTTCTCTATATGTGATTGTTGGTTTTTATTAAACTGTTTTGTTTGTTTTTTTCATTTAGCTAAACACATATTAATAGTTGTACTACAAAGTGATGAAGAAAATGTACACGGCAGTATAAAAACTCATCAGAATTTAGAAAATGGTCTAAAAATGAAAATTTCCTTGGGACTAAACCATTAGAACCTACACTTACTGTATCCTCTGCAGCAAATTAAATGAAGCTTACCCCCATCCTTAGAGATAGTTCAGATCTTTTACAGTAAGGCAGGATACCATAGCAGAAGAGTAACTAAAAATTACCCACCTGCTACCAGGTCTGGTCATTGAGGAAACGTCTGGATCAGGACCCACAGCACCTCTTGAAGCCTCCAATCCAGATTCATCGCCTTTTATACAAAATACAGCCAACAACTGTGAGGACAACAGTAGTGAAAATGACTCCAAGGCTCCCCTGATGACTGAAAATCAACACATTGTCCATTGTCTGGTACATTTTCTCAAAGTATCTCCGTATCTGTTGTCTTTGAGCTTTTCACAGGACTTTATTTTGTTTGTTTTTACTTTTTCTTTCTGTTTTAATGTATTTCTTTTCTCTATGAATTGGTGGTCTGGTCCTTGCTTTGCAGTTAAATAATTAATTTAAATTTCATTCCCTTTACACCTCTATACAAAACTATTGTATAAACTGTGAATACAGAGTAATTGTTACTCATAGAAAACCAATTTATTTAGTGTGATTTTGCTTCAGGGAGGAGATGTGACCACACTGAGGAATCTGTTGCCTGAGCATTTACTGGTTGATATCCTAGCAGAAAGATTTCAGGTGAGGTATTATATGGTGTGTGTATATACAGAAAAGTGCAAACTGAATAACTCTTAGCCAGTGCTGTGCAATAAATTGGCACAAATAAGGAATGTTTTCTCTGATGTTTCTCTATTTATTTTGTAGTTCTCTCTAATGTTGGTGCTTACGTTGTGATTACAGTTAAGCGATTGTTATCGTGGAATAGTGATTGATGGCCTGGACTCAGCGTACACTCGGGTTCCAGCGAGCACTCTGCAGGTTGTTCTCAAGGCCTTAAGTAACCGCAAACACATCTATTTGGTCAACTTATCTGACTCTTATACAGCCCTGAAGGCACGGGAAAAAGCTCAAAGCGAAGCTGAAGGTAAAATATTTACAGACAGAAATTCTTATACCTGTGAACAGAACTTATAGTTGTCATGTTTATGTATTGAATTAGATAAATGACCAAAACTGTGTGTGTGCGTGTGTGTGCGTGTGTGTGTGTGTGTGTGTGTGTGTGTGTGTTTTGTTTGTCAGAGGCTCTGCAGAAGGAGAAAGCTGCCAGGGAGGAACAATGGCTGCAGGACATGGATGAGGAGGAGTATAATGCTCTGCCACAGGAGGTGAAGGAGCGCATTAACAAAAAACACAGAGAGGAATTCCGACAGCAGAAGTTTAGGTACTGACAATATTTATTTTTTTCAGTGAGGTTTTAATTTCTAGTTTTACCAAACTGCACAAAGTCAAAACTGATGTTTTAGCTTGATGAAATGGACACAGTCATCAATGGTATGATCAACATGCCTAGTGAGGCTCAGTTCTCTGGGTGAAAATGCCTTGTTGATGCCAGAGGTCAGAGGAGAATGTCCAAACTGCTTCAAGCTGATAGGAAGACAACAATAATTCAGATAACCACTTATTACCAAGGTATGTAGAAAAATCGGGTCCGTCCTGCCTTGTATCAAGAGTTCAGGCTGACGGTGGTGTAATGGTATCAGGGGTATTTTCTCTTGTTCCCTAAGTACCAGCTGAGCATTGTTTAAACACCACGCACACACAAGCCTTTCTGATTGCTGTAGCTGTCCATGTCCATCCCTTTATGACCACAGTGACCACATCTGCTGAGGGCTGTTTCCAGCAGGATAACACACCATGTCACAGATCATAGAGCGTCTCAAACTGGTTTCTTGATAGTCTCCATGAAATTCATTTCATTTTACTCAAATAACTTGGCTAGTCACACAGTCTCTATCCAATGTAGCAGCTTTGGAGTGAAAGCCGAATCAGATATGCAGCTGACAAATCTGAAGCAACTGTTTAATTCTGTCATGTCAGTATGGACCAGGATCTCTGACGAATGTCCCCGAATCCTTGTTTACTATGTTATGAAGAATTTAGGCACTTCTGAAAGCAAAAGTGAGCCCAACCCAGTGATAGCATTACATGCCTAATAAAGTCATCATAAATGATAAGGGAGGTACAGAGTGGTTAATCCATGGAATACAGATGATTAAATTAAATTTTATATTTAAGTTGTTAAGAAGAAAAAGAAAATATAAACACAAATTATGAAAAATAGCACATTGGACTGATTAAGTTCTGCAGTGAACACTTCCAGTTTTTAACATTCGTCTGAAAGGTGAATTTTTAATCAAAATGGCATATTCAAATAATACAAACAATAATAAATAATAAATACATAATATGTGCTTTAACATTTATATCAATAATGGTTTAGAATATGGCATAAGCCACTATAACCACATTTTGAGGTATTTGATGTCATTCATTTTCTGCTTAAACCAGTTATAGACTTAGATTTACTATATCTACCATGGAATAAAAGCCCTCATAGTGATCATAAATATAGAGACTTGAAACTACTTCTTGCTTCCTTCTACATCCAGGAATATTGTGCACAGTTTTATTTATGCTGAGCATGCACAGTTTCACTCAAATACCAGGAATATATTCAAGTTCAAATGAAGGTAACTAAAAACAATTCACTTGTGTGTAAGGGAGCAGATGGAGAAAGAGCTGGAAGAAAAGAGGCAATAGGAAGAGAACCAAAGGTTAAAAGAGGTGGGTGGAAAGAAGGACATTAAAGAACCATCAAGGAAGAAGAGCTTGCTGGGGGTAAAGCAGGTCTGTATCCATTATGAAGACCAGCAAATACAGAGAAAAATTAGAGCACTGAATTAATTTCTCCCCTTTCCTCTGTAGTCAACATTGAATGTGCTAAAGGCGTCTTCTGTTAACGACTCCAAAGAGCAATTAGGGGACACAAGAGAGCAATGTCATCTAAATGAAGGTGCAGACAATTGTAAAAAAAAAACATGTAATATTTTATAAAATGTAATATAGAGTAAAAAATGAAACGGTTTATAGAGTGCAGCATAATCAGTTACTGAGTGACGTCTGGTCATTATTCCTACAGAGCATCATAGCAAAGAGGCCGATGATCCACAGAAGCAGACAGAAGGAACCACAGGTTCTCCTCAACCCACAGACACACTGGAGATAGACAAGGTAGATTAGAGCTTAGCAACGATGTCAACACACTCAACCCCAGTGCATTATTTAAAATGGTAGATATGTATAGCAGACTAATTACCTACTTTGTAACTTACTGGAGTTTTTATACTGCATGTTTGGGATACATTATTTCATAAGATTGTGTAATGTTATACAACAAATCAGATATGAGGAATGATGGAATAATAAATTGTGATGAGTTCTTACTATTTTAACAACATGTCTGATTTTTTTCAAGTATGTTTTGAATACTTGATTTTAATTTGAGAAAAAAGGGATTCAAGAAACAAAGGTACTTCTTGTAGGCCTATTTGTTACTATGTGTGCTGTGAAATCTTCAGCTTCTCTTACTTTAGTTTTTAAAACCACTCAATGAAGAATTAATGATTTACTCTGCAATCCAGTGTCTTGCATTCTGCACAGGATCTAATTACATTAAAGTATTTAATTTTGCTTTTATATCTAACATGAATCATGTTTGTTGCCAGAATACAGAAACTGTAAATGTGAAGAGTGCAGGAGAAGAAAAAGAGTTGAAAGATGGAAAACAAGCAGGGGAGAGGAATCAAAAAGACAGAGCAAGAAGACAGAGCTTACCTGCTGGGAAGGTTTGTACAAATATGCCATTTAAGGGCTCTTTGTTAAGTCAATAACATAAAATCTGAGGCCTGTATTACAAAGCAGGATTTAGTCCAAGTAACTTTGGGTCCAATCCTGGGTTTTCCATACTTCTCATTCAGATGCTTCGTACTCACCTTGGTAACTTATGCTGTAAACCTAACCTGTTCTGGTGCACATTATGTTCTACATTAGAGGTTAACAGACTCACATCATTGCCTACTAACCATTCAAGTGCCACCATTCCTTCATTCTCCATTGCTCACCATACCCCCATTCAGTCCCAGGTGGAGAACCTGCAGTCTAAGTTCTGTCAATACGAGGGGAGCCAAGCCCTGGTGGAGCATATCCTGCAGCACTGGGACCGGCGCCGGGGATTGTTGTTGGTCCCACTCCCCACTGAAGATGCTTTAGGGTCAGCTGAAGTTACAACAGAGAAGCAGGTGTGTTAGCTGGCCAACACACCTGGTGGTCCTCCAATCCCTCCTTTTTTTTTTAACTTAAATGTAAGACTGCTTGGAAAATTGGAAAGGTGTGCTATAATTCTTTATCCTTGTTTGAATCCAAAATATTTTTTCCATCTACACAG